CTCCTTTTCAGATAAATATATGTCACCAGTAACTGATAAAGAAGTTAAAGACATAGTGAAATCATTAAAATGGAAATATTCACACGGATATGATGAAATTCCATAATATATCCTCAGAATAAGTTTACTATTCATATTAGCACCATTAACATATATGTGTAATAAAGTATTGATTCTTGGTGTCTCCCCTCAAGATTAAAATATTCTCAAATATATCCTATTTTTAAAAAAGGCGATAGAACTGATATAGCAAATTATAGGCCGATATCTTTACTGACATCTTTCTCTAAGATCTTTGAAAGAATCATATATAACAGATTACAACTTCATCTAGACACTAATAATATATTAGCACATGAACAACATGGTTTTCGAACTAAATTGTCCACTGAATCAGCCATTTATGACTTAATAAATACCATTCTAACAGCAACAAATAATAAACTTGTTGTGGGAGGCCTGTTCTGCAACCTGACCAAAGCATTTGATTGTGTAAATCACACAATACTTCTTGCTAAGCTAGAGTTCTATGGTTTTAATGGTAAAGCAGGAAAGTTAATTAAAACTTATTTGAGGAATAGACAACAAAGAACAGTACTAAATAGCAATATTACTAGTGGAACTTCAGAGTGGCAAAGTGTAAAATGGAGTCCCTCAGGGTCCGTTCCGGGGCCATTGCTCTTTTTGATATATATAAATGATTTGCCAAATACAATAAATAAAGAATCAAAACCAATTTTATTTGCTGATGACACCAGCATATTGTGCTGCAAGTCAAATCTTAAAGAACTTGACATCGCCCTAAAAGAAACTCTTGAATCAATCAATAAATGGTTCTCTATAAACTCGCTAATTTTGAATCTAACTAAAACGAGTTGTGTCCAGTTTTTAACAAAACCAAATGCACTAATAACCTTAAATATTAAACATGGTGATATCCAAATTAATAATATGAATACCTTGAAATTCCTTGGGCTAACAGTTGATAGTACTTTAACATGGAAGGAACATATCAAACAAATAGCCAGCAAATTGAGCTCGGCTTGTTATGCTATAAGAGTTTTAGTCTCAATATTGTCTCGTAGAGAGCTTATTGATGATGCATAATGCCTACGTTCATCCTATAATGTCATATGGCATAATATTCTGGGGAAATTCAACGTATAGCACACAAATATTTAAAATTCAGAAAAGAATAATTAGGGTAATAATGAGAGCAGGAAATAGGGACACTTGTCGGCCTTTATTTAAGAAATTAAACATTCTTCCTTTTTATTCACAGTATATATTTTCAGTATTGGTCTTCATAGTTAAAAACATGGACAAGTATGTAGCAAATTCAGATATTCATAACATTTATACGAGACAAAGATATGAACTACATTATCCAACTTATAAATCAACCAGGGCTCAAAAGGGAGTATCTAACACTGGAATTAGAATATTTAACAAATTAGCACATAGTATAAAATTTTTTATGCAAGATTTAAATAAATTCAAATATTCCCTTAAAATTTTTTTTACTCTCTAGATGAGTATTATGAATGGGAAACAAGAGATGATTGTGTTAATTAAAGATAAGTGAATCAACACTAGTCATTTTTATATCTTCTATTGTAGGATACCTATACTTTTTTAGTTATGATTTTACTCTGTAATAGACAATGTTAATATGTATTTTATTGTGATAATAAGTTGCAGTGCAAGTTACATGCATGTTGTATTTAATTATTTAATTGTAGGTGGGCTCTTTTTTATTTTTTAGGTGAGTGTTATGAATGGAAAATAAGGGATGTTTGTGCTAATTACTGATAAAGAAAACAACACTAGTCATTTTTTAAATTTTTTTTGTAAGATGCCCACAACTCTTTGGATATGATTTTGCTCTGTTATTGACAATGTTGTTATGTATTTTGTTATGATAATAAGTTGCAGTCCGAGTGTTATATGCATGGTGTGTTTAGTTATAGCATTGTATCATCAGTTATTGCTACAGTGGTTGTGGATGTTGTAATATCTTAATGAAGTTGTCCTCTGGATTGATTTTATTGTACGTAGGGCTTGGACGTGTTCTATATACGATGGCGCCATTGCCAAATGTAGATTTGATGAACAAAAATAAATTGAATTGAATTGAACATATCTTGAAGCTGAAAAATATGTTAAGTTATCCTTACAAAGTGTGTGTGCCTGTTTCTAGGTATTATATTTACATGTAAAATTCTCTTCTGATTTACCCTCAGATTGAGATACAAGAACTGTTTTTTTGTATTGAACTTTACCCTTGAAATACAAATTGTCTTATTAAGCTGTTTGCTCATCAAAATATTATAACAAGAAGCCACAGATGCCTTATGTTTTAAACATTGTGAAAGTGTATTCCAAAGTACATATTTCATCTCCTTCATGTTGTATTACAATTTTTGGATGATATTTGGGAATTAGAGTAATCAATTATAATGAATGTTTCTTGCAGATCTCAGTGATGTGGTTTACAGTCGTGCTTGCATTGATTATCCCCCTGACTGCTGCAGAGGTATGTCCAGGAGGAAGAAAAACTTGTTTGCAGAGGATGACATGCTGTGAGCTTCCCAGTGGTGAGCAGGGATGCTGCCCATATGATGATGCAAAATGTTGTCCAGACAAAGTGCATTGTTGCCCACATGGTGAGATGCTGTCATGATGCCTTAGTATAGTGTATTTTCTTCAAACATTTTGAGATAGTATGCATTAGTATTTTTGTATGTATTATATAGTGAAAAGTAAAGGTATCCCTGTAACAGGCCGTTGAGGCCCATAGGATTGTGAGATGGTGAGGTTCCCACATTTTCTAGACAATCAGCTCATAGATGGCGGCAAGGTTGTCAGCCCTACACACTGGCTGCCATTTACCCCCAAGAATACTCCAAGAATATTGCTGGTACTCATTTCTGTTAGATGCTGAGTTGACCCCAGGGCCATAGTGCTGCTTGAAGGATTAGGACTTGAACCTGCGACCTTCCGGCTTGTAGCATAGTGCTTCAACCAACTATTCAACGGCGTGCCCCGATGTATTATATGGTTAACTCCTTATATTCAGCTTGGTTGATAATCTGGAGTAAATTTCACTTGGATGAAGTAGGAGGAACCATGAACAAAGGATATAAATATTGTGAGCATATTCCACCCACAATAAACTGAAGAGCAACTGCATGCAGAGCAAAAGTAGGATTGTACAATCAAGGACACATTTCTTTGATGGTTTATAAAATGATTTACACTGGGGAGATATGCAAATAAAATACCGAGGCAGAATTCACATGACAGTGGTTAGTTACATCGCATGTTGGAACTGGCTAAAGTGAGGTTTTGTATTCTACATATTGTTGACTGTATCATTCCCAGTGTGCCACCTGTACTTCCATAAACTGAGCCAACCAGTTGTATAAAGCAGAAATTAAACATCTTTGTCAGTGCAATAGCTAACTTATTTTCAGCTATGTAAAATTAGAATATTGTAGTCTAGATCATGGACGTACAGACGTACAGTTGAGTAGCTGGATTAAGGGTTGGAAGTGTTTCTGAGGCCTAAGAGCTCAGCGCAGTACTTTTTTAAATATTTATTAAGCATTATCATAATATACATCATGAATGCCATTACTCAACATATTGTCATGTTATGGGCTGACTTATAAGATGGGTTTTGGATTGGATGATTGGATTTATTGCACCCTACACATTCACACGATTTGGAACTATAGGCAGCACAGTGCCATCACTATTCTACACACTTTCCAGTTCACCATTGCGCACACCCACTAAGGTTCTTATCTTTCATTAGTCATATCATGGCAATGGATTTATCAGTTTTACTGGCACTTAAATCACATGTGGAGTCTTCTTTTGAAAGCATAATTCATTTCTTGCCATTTCTTCTCAATCACCTTCAACTGCCATCTCCTGAACTCGACCCAGTTCTCAACTAAAGCTGACTGTTCTACTCATCTGCTGTGTGTCTACTCTTCTCTGCTCAGTTGCATCTCCTGACTGTGGTTTTCTATAATGCCTTGAGATGGACCACACAGAAAAAACACCCAGTATTGTTGCTGAGGTGTGTTTACCATGCCATCGCGTAGCAGTAGACATCCTATTGTCACGTGCATGGGCTCCTGAGGGAATGTGTTTACCGAGTTGTTGCCCAGCAATGGTTATACATTTCACATTGCTCCCTCCTTAAGGTTAAGGCTATTTGTCTCAAATAGCTTACAGGCATACCGTCATTTCTTTTCCAAGGGCTGTGCTTGCGATGTCTGTGATTGGTCTCACTTTCCTTCCCATGGCTCAGCTGTTCATGGTGATTACTCTCCCACTGCTCCCTCCTGAAGGCTGTGCATCCTGAGTGGCTCCCTGATAAAGTGCCATTCTGGCCAGGTTTCTTTCCAGTTATCCTGTTTTCTTCCTCTTCCCCCCCCCCCCAAATGGTGGGGGGGGCGAAACTACCTAGAGTGGCAAGTGCTCCCACATTTCTGGCTCTTGCTCAATGTGCAGTCGCTTTTTCTGTTTCAGAGGGGGCCAACACCTCCAGAATGCACTGTCACTCTCTTCTTGTATGTTCGTCCTTCCTGAGTTCATGGCCCAACACTGTCCCTGCAACATGCCTGACAACATTGCCCCTTATGCCATGCCACTCCTGCACAGTGTGTCATCCCTCTGTGGGCAGCAGCCACCTTCTTCTGGGACCCACTATTGCTCTAGGTCCATTCATTCCTTCAGCTTTCCACAGTGCCCTGCAGCTAGATGCTGGTGGCTGTGCCGCTTTTCAGTGCTCTGACTGCAGCCTCTTCCCAGGGACCTCCTCATGCTCCATTTTGGACTCTACTTCCAATGAGGTTGACATATTACTCTCCAGCCAGGCATCCATCTTGACAATCATCTGTTCCTGGCTTGCAGTCATTTTTTCATAGTGTGAGTTTATCTTTTCTTCAAATACTGGTAGGAGTTCCATTATTTGCTCTGTGTCTGTAGTGTGGCAGTATAACTTCTACTGCAGTATTCAGTCCAATAATTTGATCAGTTGAACCCCACTTCTGGCACCGAATTGTCATGTATTGGGGTGACTTAATGAGATGTGTGTTGGATTGGATGATTGGATTTGTTGAATGCTTATAACTGGAGACTACAAGTAACCATAACAGTCTCACTAATTTACACTCTCTAGATCAGTACACATACAACACCCATAAAGCCTTCTGTTTGTTAGTCATTGATAGGAAGTGGCTGCTAAACGATTGCTAACCATTGACTCTGTCCTTCAACTTCCAGCTGACTGGCTTCTTTCTGTCTGGTGTGGTAAATGGCTTCTGGCACTCACCAGCAGTCATTCTTCATTTCAGGCCCTGCTGGATGCATGACTGGTTGTCCATTTGTCCCTCATTATCTTACCTAAGCATGGACTGAATAGAAAACACTGTGTCTTTTATTGTGTCATTATCTCTTGCTGTGGAAATGCTTTTACCACACCATTGCCTAGCGGTGGTCGAATAGAAAACACTGTATTTTCTATTATTGCTTCAGTATTTGTTGGTGTGGAAACGTGTTTACCATACTCTTATGTAGCAATGCTGCAGCTGTTGGTTCCACTCTTCTGGCTTTCAGCTGTCATGTCACAGTATTAACCTTTGAATGCTGGACTTTTGAAATGGTCGTAAGCTTTAGCTGGCCAGAGTTTATTTAAATGCCCGCTGCTGGTGCGCGTTTAAATGCCCGCTGTTGCTCTGCGTTTAAATGTCCGTTCCTGTTAGGGCGCTTAAACAGTTCTAAGCATTATGTTTAAAAATGCTGTATCTAACATAATTTTTATGATAAATGGATGGAATGTTATATTTTAGCGTCCTGTTGCACTGATTTAAGTCCATGATTTATTTAATCCGTCTTGCAGTGCATACACTCATTTATTTCCTTCTCTCCCTCGCACTACATGTTTCGGCATAATAATGCCATCTTCAGGTGCTTACTTATCCACGTCAAACCAGTTCATTGCATGCCATGTTCACACATTAAAATAACTAAAATATGTATCTATCATATACATTGTCAAACGTTAAAAA